TTAGGGTTGGCCAAAAAGTTCGTTCAGGCATTTCACATTACAGAAAAACCCGAATGAACTTTTTGGCCAATCCAATATTTAAAGAGAGAGAAGGGCAAAGATGCCCAAATGTAGCATGGTTTCTACATTTCCATCAAAATGGTATAACACTGATACCGGTAGAAAACTTAACTATTTGTAATGATATATCTATTTGTGATTATTTATGTACACATCCCCCAGTAGACTGTAAATCCCAGGAAAGTGGGGACCATGACTGGTTTTGCTCACCATTACATCTCCAGCATCTAGTCTAGTAGGTGTTCAATAATTCTGTGATGAATGACTGAAGAAACATGTGGCAAGTCCAGAGCCCAGACTTCTGGTTCCACTGGTGCTGCCTTGTGTGACCCTGGACAGAGAATTACATTTCCACTGAGTCTCAGATACCACGTTTGGAAGAGGGTCTTCAACAAGATGGTGACTAAGTGTTCATCCACTTTAGACTTATAATCTCTTTAAATACAAGAAAAGAAACAAAAGATGTCAAGATTAGAAGATGGACCAGTAGGGTGCTGGAGGAGAGGCAGTGGCAGAGGGTGGTTGGCTGAGCATCCCCAGGAAACGGCAGGAATGACTCCTGGGAGAAGTGTGATCTGTCTGCAGCCTTTGGAAAAATTGTGAAGGGAAAGAAGTTTCTCATTGAAAACCTCTATTTTCTTTCTGTATCCCTTTCTTAAGTCCCCACACCTACCACCATCAACATGACCATGCCAATAACTCCAGCAAATCAGTGTCATCACGCCTCCCATTCTGTCCTGCCTCTAAGAAAATGCTGGAATAAACACATTCACGTGTAAGTGCAGTTTTAGGAACTTTCTATCACTTTGCTGCCATCAGGGTTTACATTTTCCAACTTAGCCTCTTTGGGGGAATGTTTAACTCATATAAATTAAATGATAAAGATTGAACTTCAGGCAAGGTGGGGACTTTTTTGTAGTGGTCAAAGGGAGACTTTCATAAAGCTCCTCAAATCTCATGCAGAGGTGCCATGCTCCACCGGCTTCACCTCAGTACCTGGCTCCTAGGAGCGTCAGGAAAATCCAAGTGCACAAACCCAGTTCCTACATACCATTTTGTCATCAAAATCATCAGTTATGTACCCTACATCTCAAGGCTGGGGCTCTGGTGAGGCATGTGAGGCATTCACCTTGGGAGCAAAATAAGGGGACACCAAAATGCTTAGTAATCAAGATAATATTCTAATGTAACACTTTAAATTCAAAATTAATGTGAAAAAATCCATGATGAACAAGATATCAAATTTTTAATGAGTCAACATCAGTATTGTTGATTTTTTTCTTTTGCCTCGGGCTCCAATGTGGCTCGGCTAGGCACTTCCTTGACTCTCACTCCCTTCCATTCTGATGAAGTGCCACTGTGAGTGCACATAATGAAATGTGCCAAGGAGGCACCTTGTGCTGATTGCATCACTGTGTGCTGGGGTGGGGGGTTGGGAGAGCACCCAGGGCTCAGGCCAGGGGAGCAGCCATCCAGGAACGGCATGCAGCCCTCAGAATGCGTCCTGGAGGGAGGCTCCCAAAGCTCAAGAAAGAGGCTCTCACTGGAGCACAGACTCTCTGTTGAAACCATTACCTGTCTGCACACAGAAATATCAGAGCCATGTACAGGGTTTTCACATTTCTCCAGGCACCCATTCAGCCCTGCATACTGAAGATGGGCTCTCTACCATGAAACAGCGAAATACTTCATTTCCTGTTCTACCAAACATCCCTGTCCTGATAAAGTCCACAGACAAACATAATATTGGTTGTTTTCTATCACTCTAGGAGCAAATGCAGGGAGGGGGAACAAAGAGAGCTACTTCTCTTTGCTGAGCGCTGAGAGAACATGATAAATGATGAAAATGATGACAGGGAAGGATCTGTGTTCTGAGAGACTTTTACTGAGTCGTGAAGACCTCCCACACACACTGTCCCCAAGGGGCAGTGGAGGTGGAGATGAGGCATCTCATCAGTGCCGTTAGTGAGTCAGGCTGCTGTCAAGGCTACAGCCCTCCTCCGCTAACGTAGGCAGGGGGAGAATGCCAAAGGAGAAATGCTCCTTACCTTAAGTGAATGGGAGGATATTTTTGAAATGGAAATTAATCGTTTTTGAAAATAAATAATGGAAAGGGGCCACTCTTGAACCGAGTACCATACTGCGTAACAGCTGTGGCCAGCCAGACAATGCAAGCTGACTGATGTTGGGGAAGGCAGGCAGGGGTGACCTCAGACATCCAGTAGGTGATATCACTCCACTCCTAGTGCCTCGGCATCACTGTGCTCCAGCTGCAACGCCAATATCCATCCTAGGCCATCTCCATTGACCTTTGGTTAGGCATTGAGGACTAAGTTTAGCAATGATCATCTACCATATTATTTTTCCATTTTACTAGAAGATTCTTGATTAATAAGAGTTTAAAGGAATCCCTAAAGGTAATATATTAGGCATTTGTGATAGGCAGTAGGTAGATATTCCGTGGCTGGAGATCCTGTGAAACGTACAGGACACTGGAGATGTCCATATACCAGATAGTGAGCTCAAAACAGTTAAACAGCAAAACTTAAGGTTAACTCACTGCCTGGCTTCTGATCCAGTGTATTTGCATCAGAGATATAGAAAGTGAGAGACTGGAAACACTCCCAGAGGACAAGGCTTGCTTAGTACATGGAGGCCTTTACTCTCGCTATTCCCTCTTTGGAATATTTTCCCCCATATCTCCCCCTGGTCGCCCCTGCCCCCACCTCTCACCTCCAATATGTTCACATCCTAATTCCCAGAAACAGAGTATGTTAGGTTTCACAGCATGGAGCAATAAAATGGAACTAAGGTTGCTAAACAGCTGACTTTGAGGTGGGGAGATAATCCTGGATTATCCAGGTAGGCCCAATGTAATCACAAGTGTCCTTCTAAGTAGAAGGGGCAGGCAGAAGGCAGGCAGAGAACGGGGCAGAAGAGTCAGTGAGATCCAATGTGAGATGTTGCTACTTTTGAAGATGAAGATAAGGGAATACGAGTTAAGGAATGTGGGTAGCCCCTAAAATTCGGAAAAGGCCAGGAAACTGATTCTCCTCTAGAGCCTCTAGAAGGAATGCAGCTATACCAACACCTACCTTTTAACCCAGTAAGTCCCACTTTGGACTTTTGAGCACAAAATCTATAAGATAACAAATTTGTGGTTTTAAGGCACTGTAGTAATTTGTTACGGCAGCAGTAGAAAACTAATATAACTCCTTATCATTTGATCTAAGCTCAAATGTCATCTTTTTAAAGAGACTTTCCTTGACATCTCTCACCTGCTAAAGGATTTCCCCATGCCCAAGCATTCTCTATAACACACTTTTATTTTTGTCTGCTAATGACTGTCTAAAATTATTTTATGTGTTTATTCCTCCTCCCTCACAAGAATGTAAGTTCTAGGGGGGTAGGGACTTTGTTGCTCTTTTCACATATTATCTCCATTGCTTTGGATAGCACTCATGGTGGACATTTAAAAAACACCTGCAGTGACAAAGTGAGAGAGTGGCATGGACATATATACACTACCAAACGTAAAATAGATAGCTAGTGAGAAGCAGCCGCATAGCACAGGGAGATCAGCTCGGTACACTGTGATCACCTAGAGGGGTGGGATAGGGAGGGTGGGAGGGAGGGAGACGCAAGAGATATGGGAACATATGTATAACTGCTTCACTTTGTTATAAAACAGAAACTAACACACCATTGTAAAGCAATTATACTCCAATAAAGATGTTAAAAAAAAAACAAAAAAATACCTGCAGTGTGAATAAGCCTTAAGCTAATGAGGACCATAACACTCTTGCCACTGCTCAATCACAAAAGGCAGCTGTTAAAAAGAGTCCCATGCCCAGTAGGTCCTGTGTTGCAAGGAACTACCCAAAACAAAACAGGAATAGAAACAGAAACAGCAAATAGAAATTTCCAAGTAGGCAATCACTATCCCTGGGCAACTGTAGACCAGAGAGTCTTCTGTGAGTGCCAAGAAGTAACCAGTTGGGAACGACCAGAAAGCTGTGAAAAGATATGTAATTAACTCAGGTTGCCTAAATATTGTGCAATTACAATTCATAAGGGATCACATGTAAAAATACCTCATAACATAGGACAAAATAATAGATGAGTAAAAAAAGGATAAATAGTGAGATTATTTTCTTTTTATATTGATGGGTCAATTCTTTAACGGAGATTCTTAAGATTACCAGGTTTTGCTAAAGACTGCAGTACTGATAATCTCCCCAGTTTTCCAGTCTGAAATAAGCAGACCTGGCTCCTAAAAAGATACCCACAGAAAAGGCTGGCTGCCTGGGATGCAGGATCCGCCTGACCCAGTGAGGTAGGCGGTGCTGTCACGTCTTCCAGCCCCAAGTGTCAACACCCCGGAAGAGGCCTCCAGGCTTTGTGCCCAACCAGCTGGGGCTTGCCTAGAGCCGCGCCCAGATCCATAGGGCCACCCGCCCTCCGCAGAGCGGACTCTGACCAGAACAAAGGCAAGAGTAACTGGCCCGAGGGCCCTACGCTCAGCCAGCCAATGGCCATGGAAATGGGGCGGGACCACGGGGTACCGGGCCAATACGATGCGGCGGGGTTGGAGCGCTCGCCGGGTCCCGGGGCGGTGGGGTTTTGCAGCCCCAGCCCGGGCTATGTGGGAGCCTCACAGTGCTGAGGCGTTCGCGGCTGCCCTCGCAGGTGCCCTCTTCCTGCTGCTCTTCGCGCTGGGGGTCCGCCAGCTGCTGAAGCAGAGACGGCCGTCGGGCTTCCCCCCGGGACCGTCGGGGCTGCCATTTATCGGCAACATCTACTCGCTGGGCGCCTCGGCCGAGCTCCCCCACGTCTACATGAAAAAGCAGAGCCAGGTGTACGGCGAGGTACAGCCGACGGGCCTCGGGCAGGGAAAGCTCGGGCCTTCCTCTCGGGGTGAGGGGATGACCCACGCTCGTGGGTGCGAGCTGTCTGACCCCTCTCTGTGTGTCGGCAGCGTCGAGGGGAAGCTGGCTTCCCAGGCCCGGGGTCGAGGTACTCAAGCGGCGCCGCTGGGGGAGGGAGAGCCCGGCCAAGCCGCGAGCCCCTCCCACCTGACGTCCGCGGGGTACTGGCCGGATTCTCCCGCCCCCGAGGGCGACGAGGTGCCGCTCCCGCGCCTGCGCAGTGGGGTCTGGGTCACGCGCCGTAAGCCCGGTCGGGAGTGACGGGCGTCACCCTCAGCGCGAACAGCTTCTAGCGCCCATGGAGCTGCACGAAGTGCGTAGGTTAGCTTCCACCCACGGCTTCTTGAGAAAACCAGGCGTCCGAAATCTAGGACCGAGTTATTGGTTAATAGGAGGTCGTTGGATGTTTGCGTTTGAGAATGGCTGGTCTAGGCGTCTGCCGAGAGGCTGAGAGAGCGCAGGTGAAGGCCTCTGGGAAATGACCGTGAAAGAGAGAATGAACAGTGAAAATTAGTGCGGAATCGCAGTGCCGTCTTGTCTGCCCGGAGCCAGGAGCGTCCCCGCAGCAAACACGGAGACTGCGCCGGCCGTGGGCCAGCCTCCCTTGCAGTGCGGGCGCCCGGGGGCAGGTCCTCTGGTCCTCCGCGTTTTACAGAGGAGGAAACTGCGTCACAGACCAGCTGAGTGACTTGCAGGCAGCCACGCCGCTGCGAACTAGCAGGGGAAAGGCCAAAACGCTAGCTTGTGTTTGGAAGGGTGTCCTGACCTCGAGGAGGCAGAAGTTTCCAGAACACTGGCACTAACACGGCTCACTTGTTTCCTTTTGAATCCATTCTTTTATAGGAAACGACCAGCCAGGCTCTGCCAGGTGCTGGGGATAGATGAAGAAGGCAGTCACAGCCCAATTTTAGGTAGTTACAGTCTAGCCAGAGAAAAAAATTAACGATCGACCACAAATTGTGTTTTGAAGGAAAAGTACCGCAGGGCTGCCTGGCAATTGCGGTGTTTCAGGTTTGGGCTTACATCCGTATTTAAACCAGCTTTTACAATAATTATTCTAGGTTTCTGCAGTTCCCTCATGGTATATGTTGCTAAAGGGAGGCTGGGCTTAGATAAAGCAAATTGTATAATTCTTAGATACTATTTTCAACCCTCCAGTTCTCAGGAATTGAGTGTATTTCCATGATTTCCATTGAATATATTTGATCTCTGGTGTACAAAGCATCACTAATATTTAGAGAAATCATAAGATGTGAAAGCGCAAGACGAGAGGTTGAGTCCTCTTTCGTCAGGTAAAACTTGACCTTTACTTGTCTGAATCTTAAGGTTTCGCGATACGCGTAATGGTAATAATAATAACTGAACACAGTTAAGTGCTACTCAAATGTTCTTTGAGTAAATGTTAGTTATTAATTACAGAACAACTTATTAGGCCTACAAAGTAGAAAGTGTTTTTAGACCAGTTATGTGAAATGGTGTCATGCAGAATAGGGAACTGTTTTTCATACGTAGATATTTGAACTGAAAGGAACTCTGTATTTACTATGAACATTCTTTTGGGAGAGGGGTAATTTAGTCTTATAATAGACTGCAAATTATAAATCTGCTGGAAGACTGTCATCTTGGCATAGGTAGATCTGGTACATTGGATAAGAATTTGGCATGAGTAACCAGTTTTATTGCTGGTACAACTATATATTTGAGGCAACCTTGGTTCTTTACAAAGAGGTCTTTTTACTGAAGGTGGTAAAATTAAATAGGGCTAACCTGTGCTGTTAGGTATAAGAGGAGCAGAGGAAAAAGAAAAAGGAGCAGAAATGGAAAGGATGTATGCACTGAAGAGTAGACATGGTTTGAGTAACTCAGTTTTAGACTTAAGTTGAAAACCACCTGATGTATTAACCCTTTAAGCTACTTGCTCTTTATCTTAGTTGTGAAACACCCCTACAGTTCTCCCATTGTCTCAGAGGTATTTTCCAATTCTGACAAAGTCTCAAAGTTGGTATTATTGCAGGAAGGGAGACCCCTTCCAGGGCCCCAGAGTGGGCTCTTGTCTAACACTAAGAAATGAATTGTCCTAGGAGAAATACGTGCTGACAAAGCAAGAGACTTTATTGGAAAGGGGTGCCTGGGTGGAGAGCAGGAGGGTGAGGGAACCAGGAGAACTGCTCTGCCATGTGGCTCGCAGTCTCGGGTTTTATGGTGATGGGATTAGTTTCCGGGTTGTCTCTGGCCAATCATTCTGACTCAGGTTCCTTCCTGGTGGGCGCGCAACTGCTCAGCCAAGATGGATTCCAGCGAGGAGGATTCTGGGAGGTTGGTAGGACATGTCGACTGGCATCTCCTCTCTCCGTTTGACCTTTTCTGTATTCTTCCGGTTGGTGGCTTGTTAGTTCTATGTTCCTTACCAGGATCTCCTGTCATAAAATAACTCATGCAAATTGTTACTGTCTTTGCCTGGCCAGGGCAGGCAGTTTCAGTCAGTGTTTCTGCTAACAGTATGAGTTGTTAAAATACTATGCCTTTTTTGGAAGTGGAAGGAAACTATTATCTCCTGTACTCCTAGAAGGTTGTGGAAAGTTGTTTATATGTCATACTTATAAATACAGAATCTTATTTTTCCACTGTCTTACTTGATGATCTGGAGATGTGTGCTCAGAGAAAGCAAGCCCTGGACTTTAAAATTGCTTATAAGAAATGACAGCCCCTTCAAGTGACACCTACTTTTATGAAGTCTGTGAATTCAATTCTCCTTCATAATTCTTGAAAGGAAGACAACCGGTGCTCAAGACTTATACAGTCATTTTAAAGACAATCTTATATAGAAATGTATCACACTGAGACTTAGCATTTCCTTGGAGATTCACTCTGAATGCGTAAGCTTCTGCAGTGACTAATGTTAACCCAGGTTTCGAGAAGCATTCCCTAGCTAGCAAAGCTAGCACAAGGAGTTTTCACAGATTATTTTCAGGTAATGCATGTAAGGATAATAAAATAATTAATTTGAGGCATGTGGAGTTGACAACCTATAATTTATTTATACAGTAAGCGTTTATTGAGATTTAAGCAAGGCATTGAATGAGATTCCGTGGAGTGTTCAAAGATGAAAGAGATGAAATCACTGAATCTAAAGAGTTTATAATTTAGCAGGCAAGCAGAAGACAGGAATATGAATGCCTCTGGTTTTAGGTAGTATTAAATAAGTGCCATGGGAGCTTCTAAGCGTGTGCTGTGGTGGTTCAAGGGAGAAAGAGAAAGAGAGTGCACTGAGAAAGGCTTCATGGAGGTTGGTCCTTAAAGACTTGGTGGGGTTTGGACGGTATGGCAGTCAAGGTAGGCATTCCAAATGAGAAAACAACCCAAGCAAGTGTTGAAAAGTGTGTGGCAGTTATTTATCAGTTTTCATCAACAGCACTTTTTACATTCCTCTGTTATTAGCACTTAGCCCATAGTGTTGTAATAATATGCTTAAATGTGTGCCTCCCCCTCTATTCTTTAATTCAGCATATATTTATCAGTTGTTATCATATGCTATGTATTAATACTATGCTAGATGTGAAGATTTAGCAATGAACAAAACAGGTGAAAATCCCTGCCCTCGTGTAGCTTACACTCTAGCAGTGGAGGGGAGGTGGGGAGCAGGATAGGGACAATATAAACACAATAAATATATAATATGTTAGAGTACAGAGTAAGAAGTAAACTAAATTAGGGTAAGGAAAATGGAGAATTCTAGGGCGTGAAATTTAAATGGGTTAGAGCAGGCCTCACTGTAAAAAAAAGGCGTCTTAGCAAATATTTGAATGAAGTGAAGGAGCAAGGTATGGGAGTATCTAGGGGAAAAACATTCCAGGCCAAGGGAACAAGTACAAAGGCCATGAAGCAGGAGTATGCCATGCTGAGAATCACTTATAAAGAGACAAGTTAAGAGGCTGTTGAGATAACATAGGGGAGAAACGAAGGATTAGAGTGTTAGTGACGGAAGTGGTAAGAAATTGTCATATTCTGTCTGTATTGTTAAAGTTGAAACATCGTGACTGCTAAGCAGTGATGTGGGGCTTGGGTGAAAAATGGAGTCAACATGGGCAGCTCAGGACTTCCCTGGCAGTCTGGTGGTTAAGAATCCGAGCTTCCACTGCAGGGGGTTCAGGTTCAATCCCTGATCAGGGAACTAAAATCGCACGTGCTGCGGTGTGGCCAAAAATAACCCCAAAAAACAAAAACCATGGGCAGTTTGGGACCAGAATATAGCTTGAAGGATGGCTGGAATGGTCATTAACTGAGATAGTGAAAAATCGTGGGTAGAGCTAGTTTGGGAATAGGGCAAAAGACTTGAAGATCATAGACTGACTTCTAGAAGCTGTTTTATGTGTACCTGTTTCCATCTTTGCCAGCATCATAACTACCCCATAATAATAAAAATTATTGAAGAAATTAAAAAATATATAAAACTAATCTTGGACACTTCCATAGATTAAAGCAGCATAAGGATGAATTTTCACAATTTGATATACAAACTTCTACCAAAAGTCCTTGAAAAGAGCATGTACCTGAATAGATGCTAGCTCAAGTAACAGTTTCCCCAGTTTTCACCGTGAAATAGAGGACCATCTCATTTTTGAGTAAAGGTGGATTGTATAACAATTTTCTCAAGTTATGGCTCCTAGTTGGTTTTTGCAATCTCTAGTGTCCACAACCTGACAGCATTACCCTGAAATTAACTCCCCTGTCTGTTCTGCCTTCCTATTAGCAGAATTTGTAATCCCATCGTTGTGAAATCGATCACAAAGTTGATTTAATCACAAAGTTGGGGATTTTTTTCCTGCATCAGGACCACTGCCTATTCACTAATACCCTTCGTTATTGTCTCTGCTTGTGATACTGTGATTTTTAATAAATGTGTATTTGGTCTTTGTACCTTTCCTGGCACAAGCTCCCAAAACCCTTGGAACTTCCTAAGTGTTGAGAGTGGTAGATGCATCTTTTGTTATTCATAATAAGCCCCTTTCACCCGCCTCAGAGTTTATGTGAATGTTAATGGAAAGCCCTTAAGGATGGGAGCTTGTTGCCTGGAGAACCAACCAGGATTAGAGGGTTGGAATTTTCAGTTCTACTCATCTTACCTCTGGGGAAGGGAGGGGGGCTGGAGGTAGAGTCAGTCACCAGTGGCCAATGATTTGATCAATCATGCCTAGGTAATAAAGCCTCCATAAAAATCCCTGAATTATAGGGCTCTGAGAGCTTCCATGGTGAATTGGTGAACACGTGGAGGTGAGCAGAGGCTAGCATGCCTGGAGAGAGCATGGAAGCTCTACACCCCTTTCCTCATACCTTGCTGTTGGGCTGCACCCCGCAGGCCGGCAAGGCCTGTACTTGCCCAGCTCCAAGACTGAAGAAAGAGCCCGGAGTCAGCAACAGAGACATCAGTGGATAGGGATCTTACATAACTGAAGCAAGGTCCTGGAGCGATACCCCACCGTGTGTGGCAGGTGGAAGGCAGGACCTGGCAGCAGGGGAAGGGGGCGGGGGATTACCAGTTACAGGGGAGTTGATTCAGGTTGCTTCATTGGTTATCAGGTACACTAGCAGAGGGGCACGCCCCTCGCTGCCCCTTTGATAAGAACAGTCAGTAGCTGGAGCCTGGGGCAAGTATGTAGGAAGGTCAGTCATGTGAGTAGGGTATAGGTGAAGCAGGCATTGGTTGAGCAGGGTGATATACAGAGAGCAAGAGAACAGCCATCTTGAGTGGCCTGACTGTACACTTGCCCTATGCATCTCTTCCATATGGCTGCTCCTGAGTTATATCCTTTTTTAAGAAACCGGTAATCTAGTAAGTAAAATATTTTATTGAGTTCTGTGAGCCACTCTATCAAATTAATCAAACCTGAGGAGGAGGTCATGGGAACCTCTGATTTATAGCCCTTTGATCAGAAGCACAGGTAACAACCTCGACTTGTGATTGGAGTCTGAAGTGGAGGAGCACTCTTGTGTTATTGAGCCCTTAACCTGCGGAATCTGACACTTTCTCCTGGTAGATAATGTCAGAATTGAGTTAAATTGTAGGACACCCAGCTGGTGTCCCAGAATTGCACACATCTGGTGTTATAGGTGTTGTAGTGGAGTACTGAGAGTAGAGGAGACACACAGGAGGAGGAATTTTTTCTTTATATCTGCTTAAAATTACGCTTCTGTGAAAAGATTTTAAGACCATCCCATTACTGCTTTGGGAACTGAAAGAGCCCCATCTTTGCTCAGCTGGTAACCACTTCCTTTGTGCTGAAACTCTTACACTGCCACTTTTGACTAATAACTTTACTTGTGGCAGGCAGTCCATGCTGCTTCCCAAAGTTCTGGATGTACCTACTGCTCAGTTGGCAGGGCCCATCCTTGTGCCAAAGACCCTTCTCAGCTGGTTGATTCTTTACTATTTGGAGGTCTTCATCACTTTTGCTACTGTAACTACTTCTGCTGAACTTCAATTCTCTGCTAAGTCTCCTGGTACCTCCCACCCCACCCCCCAAAGTAGTGTGAATCATAGCTAAATCTGTTCTACCTGTTTGCCCAGAGATGAGGCTTGACTCAGTGTTTTGGCTCTCAAAAGCTCTCAGCCACCCACTGAGAGGATGGGGATAAGCAATCTTTGCATCCCACTAATAAGGCAGCATTGTTCCCTAGGCCTCTATATAGAGCTAGCTAGAATAGACTGCAGGAGGTGTGACGTTGTAAGTGAACCTGTGGTGAAGCACATGAGAAGCTTCAGCAAGGAATAGGATGGATATTCCATCTTTTAGCTGAGGGGCAGCCACCTGTGCCAATGTGGTGGATGCCAGTCCTCCAAGGTCAAATTCCCTTAGGGCCCTCTTTGTTAACTTCGTGGAATTCAGGGGCCCAAATAAATAAGCCTGTGAGTTTCAGTATGTTTTGTTGAGGAGAGGGAAATTTTCCCCTCTGCCCCTCTTGAGTACTTTTGGCTGGACTAATAATAAAATTGACACAAGACAGATTAACAGGAGAAAAAGAAACACATTTGACTCCATGCACACGGAGGTTTCACAGACATGGGATGGAGGAAGTGGCCAAAGCAGGCAGATTTTCTACTTCTTAGACAAAGAACCAATAAATTTGCAAAGAATTGACAGGACAAAGAAACTTTGGTTTTGGGTGCCCAATTGGTGAAGAATCTAAAGAGAGTTTGTGCTTGGGCAGTACATTAAAGAAGTAACAAGATTTGTTTAAAAAAGGATTCTCACCCCCAAATTCCCTATCTTTGGCAATAAGGGTGTCCTACCTCCAGATGCATGGAGTATACCTTTCACATGAGAGATTTATTTCCTGCTTTCAGGGAGACAAAAAAGAGAAAGTGTCCCTCTTTTTTTTTTTTTTTTTTTTTTTTTTTTAAAAATTTTTTTTGTGCCGAGCAGCTTGCATGATCTCAGTTCCCTACTAGGGATCGAACCCGGGGCACAGCAGTGACAGCACCAAATCCTAACCACTAGGCCACCAGGGAACTCCCTAGAGCATCCCTCTTGCGTTGGCCATTTCTTCAGTAACTTTAATTCAAAATAATTAATATGCCATTGAGGCATATTTTGGGGTTGCATATCCTGGGCCCCAACATTTTATACCTCAAAAGTTGTCTCTCAGGCCTTTGACAATCCCCTCTCCTACCTAAACCTGGAATAATAAATGATGTGTAGATGGAGCCACTTCCTCATTCATCTTGGAAATAAACAGATTCTGAGATATCATTGAATGTTTTGAGTTGGAATGAATTTTAAAAGAGCATAAATATCAAGTATTTCTTGATTTTCTGTGGCAGCCCTGAAGCCCAAAAAGTTTAAGGGTTCTGCCAGGTGTCCTGTATCTGTTTAATGGCAAAGCTTAAACTAGAACCCAGGCCTCCTGAGTCTGGTACTCTTTTCATTACACCATTTATAAGATTATGTCTTGAGCCACTGAATGAGTAATGAAATCATGGTCTTTGACGTGCCTTGTAGAGAGAAGGCACTCTAAACATTGTCAGCTGAGTAATAAATGCCAGCATCTTCAGGGAGTAACAAATACTGGGAGAGCTGGACTTAGTATATGTGGATTTCTGTGGTTATATTTCTCCATATATTTTGCCATTTAAATGTTTTTCTTTTCTTCTCAAAGATCTTCAGTTTGGATCTTGGAGGTATATCAGCAGTGGTTCTAAATGGCTATGATGTAGTAAAGGAATGCCTTGTTCATCAAAGTGAAATTTTTGCAGACAGACCATGCCTTCCTTTATTCATGAAGATGACAAAAATGGGAGGTATGTTTATTTTCACCTACCTAATGATTTACTAAACTATTTTAAATCACATTTCCTTTTTAAAAAATATTTATTTATTTATTTATTTTTGGCTGCATTTGGTCTCCATTGCTGTGCACGGGCTTTTTCTAGTTGTGGTGAGTGGGGGTTACTCTTCGTTGTGGTGCGCGGGCTTCTCATTGCAGTGGCTTCTCTTGTTGCAGATCATGGGCTCTAGGCACACAGGCTTCAGTAGTTGTGGCACATGGGCTCAGTAGTTGTGGCTCACAGAGTGCAGGCTCAGTAGTTGTGGCACATGGGCTTAGTTGCTCCGCGGCATGTGGGATCTTCTTTGACCAGGGCTTGAACCCGTGTCCCCTGCATTTGCAGGCGGATTCTTAACCACTGTGCCACCAGGGAAGTCCCCACATTTCTTATTTTATGTAAATTTAGTACATAGAGATTGGATTCTGTTGTACTGATTAACAAGAAAGTGTTAATTAGTTAATTTAGGTTACAGACCCTAATATTTGAGAACCTTTCAGGCTGCATTACATTCATATTTTAGCCCAGTACATACTAATTCTACTGTTGTAATCCAGTTCTAATAAATATTGTAAATAATGTTTTAAAGAATTAGCACTTAATAATATGTGCAGGTTTTGTGAAACAGGTTAAGAATACATACACATGCACACATACTTGAATCAAAAGTATCTTTGAAGCTAGTCTTGAGTGCTTGGTGACATTTTACTATTATTTTACTTATAAGCTTATAGACCCTGAAACAGCCTTTCTTTAGTAATTAATATGATATGTAAATGAAGAATTGTGGGTTTGTGTAAAGGACTAGTATTCTCTATGGTTTAGTGTTGATCAGTGTCGGATGATTGCATATTCAACAAGGGAGAAAGGCTGAAAGTTAACAGAACGGATGAGACGAAAGCAGCAACAGAAAGCCTAAAATAGAATGTTGACGTCAGATACATCCGTTTTCATACTTAATAGTATAAGAGTTTTTATCTCCAAAATTTTCCAGTTCAATGAGAGCTTCACTCTTCATTTGACAGAAAAATTCAACAGTATCTTGGTTACGTAGACTAAAGAAGACATTGATTGAAAAGGAAAAAAATAAAAATTAACCATATATTAAATTGCAAAGCAAATCAATTAATGCAAAGAAAACACCAGTTTTAAAGGCCAAATTCTTAGGCCAGGGCATGATGACACTTGAAAGCGATAATATAAATAAAAAGCAAATCTCCAGCTTCTTAAATACTCTTCCAAGTAATAATTAGGCCAAAGAAGAAATTATACCACAATTATAATAGAAGACCTTTAAAGAAATTATGAAAATGTATGATGTGATCAGAGTAATATTTAGGATAAACTATATGTTTTTTGAAGCTATAAACTTATAGTTTAGACTGTTTTTATCATAAAGAAAGAAAAAAATGCATTCAACTTAAGACTTTTAAAGAAATAGTAAGAGAAAAAATAAGTAGAAAATTAGATGTGTTGGGCTTCCCTGGTGGTACAGTGGTTAAGAATCTGCCTGCCAGTGCAGGGGACACGGGTTTGAGCCCTGGTCCGAGAAGATCCCACATGCCGTGGAGCAACTAAGCCCGTGCACCACAACTACTGAGCGTGCGCTCTGTGAGCCACAACTACTGAGCCCATGAGCCACAACTACTGAAGCCCGTGTGCCACAACTACTGAAGCCTGTGCTCCTGGAGCCTGTGCTCCGCAACAAGAGAAGCCACCACAATGAGAAACCTGTGCACCACAACGAAGAGTAGACCCTGCTTGACGCAGCTAGAGAAAGCCCGCGTGCAGCAACAAAGACCCAACACAGCCATAAATAAATAAATAAATAAAATTTTTTTTTTTTTTTTTAAAAAGAAGGAAAATTAGATGTGGTTTCTTTTTTTTTTTTTTTTTTTTTTTTTTTCTGGCTGCACTGCCCAGTTTGCGGGATATTAGTTCCCAACCAGGGACTGACCCTGGGCCCTCAGCAGTGAAAGCGTGGAGTCCTAACCATTGGACCACCAGGGAATTCCCTAGATGTGTTATTTTAAGATGCATATGCACTGAACTTGGAAGTGGGAAATCAGAGCCACCATAAACCCACTGTTTGAATAGGAAAAAGTGGCCCTTTAGGCGGGTTCAGCCCATGCCTGGGCACACAGACTGGCCAGTGTAGGGTTATAATCAGGCTCCTGTGTACCTTCTTGTGTGTAACTGTATGCATATATTATGCACATGTATCCCATATGCATACATTTCTCTTGGGCTTGCTTTTATCTCAGTGCCTTTGCACTGGTTCTCTCTACCTGCAGTGATCTTTCCCTGGATATCTGCTTGACTCACTCCCATCTCCTGTGTCTTTACTTATGTCACCTTCTCACTGAGGCTTTTCCTGACCACCCTATGTCTCCTTCCTTGCTCTATAATTTGTTTGTCTCTCCTCACTAGTATGTAAGGCCCATGAGCAATAGCCATCTTTGCCTCTTTTATTCACTGATATATCTAAGACACTTTAGCTCCAGAAATACATTATGTTGAATGAATAGTCATCTGGGAGTATAGAAAAGAGAATGGAATATGGCATATAAAATTGCTGCACAGCGTTAAAGACCCCCTTATTTATGGTTAATTTCATCATAAGTTCCAAATTCAAAAACTGTTGCACAAAAGTTGTTGAAATGTAAATTACATAGGTACTTCATGTAGACAAGAGAACATGACATTTTTCATCATAGGTATACCTATGTACCAATTATGAATGAAATTCCAAGTAAACTACACGTTACAGAAATATATATGCTGAAGAAGTTTTTTTCTCGATAATCGATTTAAAGGGAAAATATTCCATAGTAGACATATCAGAACAGCAGAGTATACTGTGGAGACTGAGATTTCAAGGCAAGCAATATCAACATTAGAAGTTTGAGTTTCATGTTTGTCCCCTTAGTTTGGGCTGCTATAACAAAAATATATAGACTAAGTGGCTTCAACAACAGACAGTTATTCTATCAGATCTGGAGGCTAGGAAATTCAAGATCAAGGTACTAGCAGAACAGTGTCTGGAAAGAGCCTGCTTCTTGGCTTGCAGACTGCCGTCTTCTCCTTGTATCCTCACATAACCAAGAGCAGTCATCTCTTCCCACATCCCTTCTTATAATGGCACTAAAGCTCATTCATGAGGGCTCATTACATAATTATTTCCCAAATACCTAATTTCCTAATACCATCACATTGGGGATTAGGCTTCAACATTTGAATGTTGTGGTGGCACAAACATTCAGTCCCTAGCACCTGCTTTTGGCTTGAGTATTTCCACTACGTTGACACCTCATTCAGGCCATCCTTGCCACTTCCAGTTATAGTATTAGGTAACATATGCCTTTAATGAGAGGAAATTTGTATTCTAAAATCTAGTCTCTTGAAGCAGGAAATTTCTAATTCGAGAAGGATGATTTCTCAGGTATGTGTTTAGTCCAGGATAAAATTTTGCCCATAGAACACACAGTCATTCGTCTTTTGTAAATTAGGCTTATAATAGAAGTTGGATAATAAGGTCACCCAAGGCCTTGTTCACCCAGGTTGAATTACAGAAGACAGTTCAGTTTCTTGTGGTGGGAGATTATAGGTCTTTTCTGCCTGTGCCCAGATGAGAAGTATGGATAAGCTTTATCTGTTTATAATATTCCATGGCTAATGAGGAGTAAAGAATAGGGCTTAACTACTGGGTCTAGTTTTAGTTTTATAGAAAATTTGGAGAAGAATGAATAACCATCTTTTTTTTTTTTTTTCTTCCCTGCATAGTATTTTTAGCTGTTAGATACAGGGATGTAGGAATGATAAAAAATTTTTAATAGTATCATAGAAAGATAATTTGGAGAAGAATGACTAACCATCCCTTTTTCTTTTTAGGCTTACTCAATTCCAGATATGGCCGAGGATGGGTTGATCACAGAAAATTAGCTGTAAACAGCTTTCGCTGTTTTGGATATGGCCAAAAGTCTTTTGAATCTAAAATCTTAGAAGAAACCAAATTTTTCATTGATGCTATTGAAACATACAATGGTAGCCCTTTTGACTTTAAACAATTAATAACAAATGCCGTTTCAAACATAACCAATCTGATAATTTTTGGAGAACGATTCACTTATGAAGACACTGATTTTCAGCACATGATTGAATTATTTAGTGAAAATGTGGAACTAGCCACCAACGCCTCAGTCTTCCTCTATAATGCCTTTCCATGGATTGGCATCTTACCTTTTGGAAAACATCAACAACTGTTTAGAAATGCAGCTGTGGTCTATGACTTTCTCTCCAGGCTTATTGAAAAAGTTTCCATCAACAGAAAGCCTCAGTTACCTCAGCATTTTGTTGATGCTTATTTAGATGAGATGGATCAAGGTAAAAATGACCCATCATCTACTTTCTCCAAAGAAAACCTGATTTTCTCTGTGGGTGAACTCATCATTGCTGGAACTGAAACTACAACCAATGTGCTACGGTGGGCAATTCTTTTCATGGCCCTTTATCCTAACATTCAAGGTAAGGATTCCAGTGATCTCAAGGTCTGTTCTTACATTTAAGGCTCACACATGTTTTAGAGTCTTTGGCCTTGTACAAGGTATTCTATTTAGGAACTCCTGCTGTGCTATCCAAAAAGAGAAGCATTGAATAGCTATAAGGTTTTCAAAACTGTTATCTAAATTCGTATAAAAACCTCAGAGATGTCTTATAATACCTATTTCATAAATGAGGGAAAAGGCTGAGTGACTGATTTGCTCACTCCCTTCTAGTGCTGAGCTGGGACCTGAACCCTGGTGGTGGTGGTTGTTGTTGTTTTTCGGCTGCACCACGCTGCATGCAGGATCTTAGTTCCCCAACCAGGGATCGAACCCGTGCTTGCTGCAGTGGAAGCATGGAGTCTTAACCACTGGCCTGCCGGGGAAGTCCCAACCCTGGTTTTTTTTAATTTAAGTTTTTATGCTTCACTCTTTTCCTTGCTGAGAGTGTTGTTATTCTAATTCTAGATTTGTTTAATTTTTATTTTTATTACTTATAATGTGTTTTTCACAACAAAATTACTTAGAGTGTTGGGTACTGGTCGTATAAGATATGTGGCACATATTTAAATAGAACTCCCAGATAATGAAAAATCTGAATCTGGGTGTACCCATACCTTGTTGGCTTACTACAGGTTATCTTTTGTTTTATCCTAAAGGGAAATTACTTTAGATATAATTCTAAGAAGTGCGTAATAACTTGAACACTTTTTCTCTTACAGGACAAGTTCAGAAAGAGATTGATTTAATTATAGGACCCAGTGGGACACCTTCTTGGGATGACAAATGCAAAATGCCTTATACCGAGGCAGTTTTACATGAAGTTTTAAGATTCTGTAATATAGTGCCATTAGGGATTTTCCATGCAACCTCTGAGGATGCAGTTGTACGTGGTTATTCCATTCCTAAAGGCACAACAGTAATTACAAATCTTTATTCTGTACACTTTGATGAAAAGTATTGGAGAGACCCAGAAATATTCTATCCAGACCGATTTCTGGACAGCAGTGGATATTTTGCCAAGAAGGAAGCTTTGGTTCCCTTTTCCCTAGGTAAGAGAACTTTCAAAGGGGCATAACTTTAGGAAAAAGTATAATGCTGATTTATCATGTATAATACCTTAATCTGAAGCATTCTCTTGTAGAGTTAATATCCAAACTCTGAAAACAGTATTGAATCTTACGGGAGAGAATGGTTTAATTAGAGCTCATTAACACCTCTTTCTACTCAAAATAAGCCATAATTTAGCAGCTAGAAAGAAATTGATGAGAAGCTCTGGCTTTTTCTGAAACTTTCTTGCTTGTGGATTTTGGCTTGTAATCAAAACTTGTAGAGCTAGAAATCAGTAACAGGCAGCTTGAGAGACTGAGACCCAGGGACAGGAATGGCATCATAACTTGAAGTGAAACTAGAATCTAGCTCTCTTGGCTCTCAATTCTTATACCTCATCTCCAAAAATATTGCGTCTCCTGTGAACAAGTACACAGATCACGAGACCCATGGAAGATGGACTGGAAAAATCCTTTCACTGGGGAAGGGTACACATGCAGTCATTTGAAATGAAATGAACTTCTCCTGGGTCAAGAGAACAAAGTGTCACACCTCACATCTTTCATGGCATATCTCAGGCTCTTTTGCCACATGCAAAGGAAGTGGAGAATATAACTAATGAGCTTACAACAGCACATGACCTTACAAAAGAAGATGAAGAAATGGCCTCTGGGAACCAAAGTGCCAATTTCTATTCTTTGTGGCTTAAGAAAATCCTTTAATAAACATAACTTCCAGGCTTCCCTGGTGGCGCAGTGGTTAAGAATCCACCTGCCAGAAAACCTAAATAGACATTTCTCCAAAGAAGATATACAGATTGCCAACAAACACATGAAAGAATGTTCAACATCATTAATCATTAGAGAAATACAAATCAAAACTACAATGAGATATAATCTCACACCAGTCAGAATGGCCATCATATAAAAAGCTAGAAACAGAGGGAAGATGGTGGAAGAGTAAGACGCGGAGATCACCTTCCTCCCCACAGACACACCAGAAATGCATCTACACGTGGAACAACTCCTACAGAGCACCTACTGAACACTGGCAGAAGACCTCAGACCTCCCAAAAGGCAAGAAAGTCCCTACGTACCTGGGTAGGGCAAAAGAAAAAAGAATAAACAGAGACAAAAGGATAGGGATGGGACCTGCACCAGTGGGAGGGAGCTGTGAAGGAGGAAAGGTTTCCAAACACTAGGAAGCCCCTTCGCAGGCAGAGACTGCGGGTGGCAGAGGGGGAAGCTTCGGAGCTGCAGAGGAGAGCACAGCAACAGGGGTGAGGAGGGCAAAGCGGAGAGATTCCCGCACAGGTGATCGGTGCCGACCGGCACTCACGAGCCAGAGAGGCTTGTTTGCTCACCCGCTGGGGTGGGCGGGGCTGGGAGCTGAGGCTCGGGCTTCGGTCGGAGCGCAGGGAGAGGACTGGGGTTGGCGGCGTGAACACAGCCTGCAGGGGGTTAGTGCACCATGGCTAGCCAGGAGGGAGTCCGGGGAAAAGTCTGTACCTGCCGAAGAGGCAAGAAACGTTTTCTTCCCTCTTTGTTTCCTGGTGCGTGAGAAGAGGGGATTAAGAGCACTGCTTAAAGGAGCTCCAGAGACGGGCGTGAGCCACGACTGCAAGTGCGGACCCCAGAGACGGGCATGAGACGCTAAGGCTGCTGGTGCTGCCACCAAGAAGCCCGTGTGCAAGCACAGGTCACTATCCACACCCCCTTTCCGGGGAGCCTGTGCAGCCTGCCACTGCCAGGGTCCTGGGATCCAGGGGCAGTTTCCCCAGGAGAACACAGAATGGCGCACCTCAGGCTGGTGCAACGTCATGCTGGCCTCTGCCGCCGCAGGCTCGCCCCACACTCTGTACCCCTCCCTCCGCCCGGCCTGAGTGAGCCAGAGTCCCTGAAGCAACTGCTCCTTTAACCCTTTCCTGTCTGAGTGAAGAACAGACGCCCTCCAGTGACCTACACGCAGAAGCGGGGCCAAATCCAAAGCTGAGCCCCGGGAGCTGTGAGAACAAAGAAGAGAAAGGGAAATCTCTCCCAGAAGCTCAGAAGGAGCAGATTAAAGCTCCACAATCAACTTGATGTACCCTGCATCTGTAGAATACCTGAGTAGACAACGAATCATCCCAAATTGAGGAGGTGGACTTTGAGAGCAAGAATTATTATTTTTTTCCCCTTTTCCTCCTTTTGTGAGTGTGTATGTGTATGGTTCTGTGTGAGATTTTGTCTGTATAGCTTTGCTTCCACCATTTGTCCTAGGGTTCTATCCGTCCATTTTTTTTGTTTGTTTTTTCTTAATAATTAATTTTATTTTAATAACTTTATTTTATCTTACTTTATTTTATCTTCTTTCTTTCCTTCCTGCTCTCCTTCCTCCCTCCCTTGCTCCATCACTCCCACCTTCCTTCCTTCCTTCCTCCCTCCCTCCCTCCATCACTCCCACCTTCCTTCCTTCCTTCCTTTTTCTTTTTCTTTCTTTCTTTCTTTCTTTCTTTCTTTCTTTCTTTCTTTCTTTCTTTCTTTCTCTCTCTCTTTCTCTCTTTTATTCTGAGCCATGTGGATGAAAGGCTTTTCATTCTGCACCCAGGGGTCAGTGCTGTGCCTCTGAGGTAGGAGAGCCAACTTCAGGACACTTGTCCACAAGAGACCTCGCAGCTCCACATAATATCAAACGGCGAAAATCTCCCAGAGATCCCCATCTCAACACCAGCACCCAGCTTCACTCAACGACCAGCAAGCTACAGTGCTGGACACCCTATGCCAAACAACTAGCAAGACAGGAACACAACCCCACCCATTAGCAGAGAGGCTGCCTAAAATCATGGTAAGTCCACAGACACCCCTAACACACCACCAGACGTGGACCTGCCCACCAGAAAGACAAGATCCAGCCTCATCCACCAGAACACAGGCACTAGTCCCCTCCACCAGGAAGCCTACACAACCCACTGAACCAATTTTAGCCACTGGGGACAGACACCAAAAACAACGGGAACTACGAACCTGCAGCCTGCAAAAAGGAGACCCCAAACAGAGTAAGATAAGCAAAATGAGAAGACAGAAAAACACACAGCAGATGAAGGAGCAAGATAAAAACCCACCAGACCTAACAAATGAAGAGGAAATAGGCAGTCTACCTGAAAAAGAATTCAGAATAATGATAGTAAAGATGATCCAAATTCTTGGAAATAGAATAGATAAAATACAAGAAACATTAAACAAGGACCTAGAAGAACTAAAGATGAAACAAGCAACAATGAACAACACAATAAATGAAATTAAAAATACTCTAGAAGGGATCAATAGCAGAATAACTGAGGCAGAAGAACGGATAAGTGACCTGGAAGATAAAATAGTGGAAATAACTACTGCAGAGCAGAATAAAGAAACAAGAATGAAAAGAACTGAGGACAGTCTCAGAGACCTCTGGGACAACATTAAACGCACCAACATTTGAATTATAGGGGTTCCAGAAGAAGAATAGAAAAAGAAAGGGACTGAGAAATATTTGAAGAGATTATAGTTGGAAACTTCCCTAATATGGGAAAGGAAATAGTTAATCAAGTCCAGGAAGCACAGAGAGTCCCATACAGGATAAATCCAAGGAGAAATATGCCAAGACACGTATTAATCAAACTGTCAAAAATTAAATACAAGGAAAACATATTAAAAGCAGCAAGGGAAAAACAACAAATAACACACAAGGGAATCCCCATAAGGTTAACAGCTGATCTTTCAGCAGAAACTCTGCAAGCCAGAAGGGACTGGCAGGACATATTTAAAGTGATGAAGGAGAAAAACCTGCAACCAGGATTACTCTACCCAGCAAGGATCTCATTCAGATTTGATGGAGAAATTAAAACCTTTACAGACTAGCAAAAACTGAGAGAGTTCAGCACCACCAAACCATCTTTTACAACAAATGCTAAAGGAACTTCTCTAGGCAAGAAACACAAGAGGAGGAAAAGACCTACAATAACGAACCCAAAACAAGAAAATGGGAATAGGAACATACATATTGATAATTACCTGAAATGTAAATGGAATAATGCTCCCATCAGAAGACACAGATTGGCTAAATGGATACATAAACAAGACCCATATGTAAGCTGTCTACAAGAGACCCACATCAGACCTAGAGACACATACAGACTGAAAGTAAGGGGATGGAAAAAGATATTCCATGCAAATGGAAACCGAAAGAAAGCTGGAGTAGCAGTTCTCATATCAAACAAAATAGACCTTAAAATAAAGACTATTAGAAGAGACAAAGAAGAACACTACATAATGATCAAGGGATCGATCCAAGAAAAGATATAATAATGGTAAATATTTATGCACCCAACATAGGAGCACCTCAATACATAAGGCAAATACTAACAGCCATAAAAGGGGAAATCGACAGTAACACATTCATAGTAGGGGACTTTAACACCCCACTTTCACCAATGGACAGATCATTCAAAATGAAAATAAATAAGGAAACACAAGCTTTAAATGATACATTAAACAAGATGGACTTAATTGACATTTATAGCACATTCCATCCAAAAACAACAGAATACACATTTTTCTCAAGTGCTTATGGAACATTCTCCAGGATAGATCATATCTTGGGTCACAAATCAAGCCTTGGTAAATTTAAGAAAATTGAAAATGTATCAAGTATCTTTTCCGACCACAACACTATGAGACTAGATATCAATTACAGGAAAAGATGTGTAAAAAATACAAACACATGAAGGCTAAACAATACACTACTTAATAACGAAGTGATCACTGAAGACATCAAAGAGGAAATCAAAAAATACCTAGAAAGAAATGACAATGGAGACATGACGACCCAAAACCTATGGGATGCAGCAAAAGCAGTTCTAAGAGGGAAGTTTATAGCAATACAATCCTACCTTAAGAAACAGGAAACATCTCGAATAAGCAACCTAACCTTGCACCTAAAGCAATTAGAGAAAGAAGAAGAAAAAAACCCCCGAAGTTAGCAAAAGGAAAGACATCATAAAAATCAGATCAGAAATAAATGAAAAAGAAATGAAGGAAATGATAGCAAAGATCAATAAAACTAAAAGCTGGTTCTTTGAGAAGATAAACAAAATTGATAAACCGTTAGCCAGACTCATCAAGAAAAAAAGTGAGAAGAGTCAAATCAATAGAGTTAGAAATGAAAAAGGAGAAGTAACAACTGACACTGCAGAAGTACAAAACGTCATGAGACATTACTACAAGCAACTCTATGCCAATAAAATGGACAACCTGGAAGAAATGGACAAATTCTTAGAAAGGCACAACCTGCCAAGACTGAATCAGGAAGCAATAGAAAATATGAACAGACCAGTCACAAGCACTGAAATTGAAACTGTGATTAAAAATCTTCCAACAAACAAAAGCCCACTACCAGATGGCTTCACAGGCTAATTCTCTCAAACATTTAGAGAAGAGCTAACACCTATCCTTCTCAAACTCTTCCAAAATATAGCAGAGGGAGGAACACTCCTAAACTCATTCTATGAGGCCACCATCACCCTGATACCAAAACCAGACAAGGATGTCACAAAGAAAGAAAACTCACGCCAATATCACTGATGAACATAGACGCAAAAATCCTCAACAAAATACTAGCAAATAAAATCCAACAGCACATTAAAAGGATCATACAACATGATCAAGTGGGGTTTATTCCAGGAATGCAAGGATTCTTCAATATATGCAAATCAATCAACGTGATACACCATGTTAACAAATAGAAGGAGAAAAACCATATGGTCACCTCAAGAGATGCAGAGAAAGCTTTCGAGAAAATTCAACACCGATTTATGATAAAAACCGTGCAGAAAGTAGGCATAGAGGGAACTTTCCTCAACATAGTAAAGGCCATATATGACAAACCCACAGCCAACATCGTCCTCAATGGTGAAAAACTGAAAGCATTTCCACTAAGATCAGGAACAAGACAAGGTTGCCCACTCTCACCACTCTTATTCAACATACTTTTGGAAGTTTTAGCCACAGCAATCAGAAAAGAAAAGGAAATAAAAGGAATCCAAATCAGAAAAGAAGAAGTAAAGCTGTCACTGTTTGCAGATGACATACTATACATAGAGAATCCTAAAGATGCTACCAGAAAACTACTAGAGCTAATCAATGAATTTGGTAAAGTAGCAGGATACAAAATTAATGCACAGAAATCTCTGGCATTCCTATACACTAATGATGAAAAATCTGAAAGTGAAATCAAGAAAACACTCCCATTTACCATTGCAACAAAAAGAATAAAATATCTAGGAATAAACCTACCTAAGGAGACAAAAGACCTGTATGCAGGAAATTATAAGACCCTGATGAAAGAAATTAAAGATGATACAAATAGATGGAGAGATATGCCATGTTCTTGGATTGGAAAAATCAACATTGTGAAAATGACTCTACTACCCAAAGCAATCTACAGATTCAGTGCAATCCCTATCAAACTACCACTGGCATTTTTCACAGAACTAGAACAAAAAATTTCACAATTTGTATGGAAACACAACAGACCCTGAATAGCCAAAGCAAGCTTGAGAACAAAAAACGGAGCTGGAGGAATCAGGCTCTCAGACTTCAGACTATACTACAAAGCTACAGTAATCTAGACAATATGGTACTGGCATAAAAACAAATATAGATCAATGGAACAGGATAGAAAGCCCAGAGATAAACCCACGCACAAAGGAGGCAGGACTCTACAGTGGAGAAAGGACAGCCTCTTCAATAAGTGGTGCTGGGAAAACTGGACAGGTACATGTAAAAGTATGAGATTAGAACACTCCCTAACACCATACACAAAGATAAGCTAAAAATGGATTAAAGACCTAAATGTAAGGCCAGAAACTATCAAACTTTTAGAGGAAAACATAGGCAGAACACTCTAGGACATAAATCACAGCAAGATCCTTTTTGACTCACCTCCTAGAGAAGTGGAAATAAAAACAAAAATAAAGAAATGAGACCTAATGAAACTTCAAAGCTTTTGCACAGCAAAGGAAACCATAAACAAGACCAGAAGACAACCCTCAGAATGGGAGAAAATATTTGCAAATGAAGCAACTGAAAATGGATTAATCTCCAAAATTTGTAACCAGCTCATGCAGCTCAATGACAAAAAACAACCCAATCCAGAAATGGGCAGAAGACCTAAATAGACCTTTCTCCAAAGAAGATATACAGATTGCCAACAGACACATGAAAGAATGCTCAACATCATTAATCATTAGAGAAATGCAAATCAAAACTACAATGAGATATCATCTCACACCAGTCAGAATGGCCATCATCAAAAAATCTAGAAGCCATAAATGCTGGAGAGGATGTGGAGAAAAGGGAACACTCTTGCACTCCTGGTGGGAATGTGAATTGGTACAGCCACTCTGGAGAACAGTATGAAGGTTCCTTAAGAAACTACAAATAGAACTACCATATGACCCAGCAATCCCACTACTGGGCATATACCCTGAGTAAACCATAATTCAAAGAGTCATGTACCAAAATGTTCATTGCAGCTCTATTTACAATAGCCGGGAGATGGAAACAACCTAAGTGTCCATCATCGGATGAATGGATAAAGAAGATGTGGCACATATATACAATGAATATTACTCAGCCATAAAAAAAAATCGAAATTGAGCTATTTGTAGTGAGGTGGATGGACCTAGAGTCTGTCATACAGAGTGAAATAAATCAGAAAGTGAAAGACAAATACCGTATGCTAACATATATATATGGAATTTAAGAAAAAAAAATGTCATGAAGAACCTAGGGGTAAGACAGGAATAAAGACACAGACCTACTATAGAGTGGACTTGAAGATATGGGGAGTGGGAAGGGTAAGCTGTGAAAAAGCGAGAGAGTGGCATGGACATATATACACTACCAAATGTAAAATAGATAGCTAGTGGGAAGCAGCCGCATAGCACAGGGAGATCAGCTCAGTGGTTTGTGACCACCTAGAGGGGTGGGATAGGGAGGGTGGGAGGGAGGGAGACGCAAGAGGGAAGAGATATGGGAACATATGTATATGTATAACTGATTCACTTTGATATAAAGCAGAAACTAACACACCATTGTAAAGCAATTGTACTCCAATAAAGATGTAAAAATTTTTTTTAAAAAAAGCTAGAAACAATGAATGCTGGAGAGGTTGTGGAGAAAAGGGAACCCTCTTGCACTGTTGGTGGGAATGTAAATTGATACACCCGCTGTGGAGAATAGTATGGAGGTTCCTTAAAAATCTAAAAATATAACTACCATACAACCCAGCAATCCCAGTACTGGGCATATACCCTGAGAAAACCACAATTCAAAAAGAGTCATGTACCAAAATGTTCATTGCAGCTCTATTTTTTACAATAGCCAGGACATGAAAGTAACCTAAATGTCCATCAACAGTTGAATGGATAAAGAAGATGTGGCACATATATACAATGGAATATTACTGAGCCATAAAAAGAAACGAAATTGAGTTATTTGTAGTGAGGTGGATGGACCTAGAGCCTGTCATACAGAGTGAAGTAAGTCAGAAAGAGAAAAGCAAATACCATATGCTAACACATATATATGGAATCTAAGAAAAGAAAAAAAAAGGTTGTGAAGAACCTAGGGGCAAGATGGGAATAAAGACGTAGACCTACTAGAGAATGGACTTGAGGATATGTGGAGGGGAAGTGTAAGCTTTGACAAAGTGAGAGAGTGGCATGGACATATATACACTACCAAACGTAAAATCGATAGGTAATGGGAAGCAGCCGCATAGCACAGGGAGATCAACTTGGTGGTTTGTGACCACCTAGAGGGGTGGGATTGGACGGTGGGAGGTAGGGAGACGCAAGAGGGAAGAGATATGAGAACATATGCATATGTATAACTGCTTCACTTTGTTATAAAGCAGAAACTAACACACCATTGTAAAGCAATTATACTCCAATAAAGATGTTATAAAAAAGAAAAAAAGAATCTGCCTGCCAATGCAGGGGACATGGGTTCAAGCCCTGGTCTGGGAAGATCCCACATGCCGCGGAACAACTAAGCCCCTCTGCCACAACTACTGAGCCTGTGCTCTAGAGCCCATGAGCCACAACTACTGAGTCCACGAGTCACAACTATTGAAGCCTGTGGGCTTAGAGCCCATGCTCCGCAACAAGAGAAGCCACTGCAATGAGAAGCTTGTGCACTGCAATGAAGAGGAACCCCCGCTCGCCGTAACTAAAGAAAGCCCATGAGCAGCAATGAGGACCCGACGCAGCCAAAAATAAATAAATTTATTAAAAAGAAATGAATAAAATAAACATAACTTCCTCTAAGTTTCTTTAAATTCCAGGTTTCCTGAATGGTACATATTAGACTTAAATTTTGGTAAATATTGTGGATTTAGAAAAATTATTATGCCTGTTTTTTATGTTGAGGGAGAAGACATTGTCTTGGAGAACAGCTGGCTCGGATGGAAATGTTCCTGTTTTTTACAACATTGCTTCAGCGATTTCACTTGCACTTTCCACATGAACTGGTTCCAAATCTGAAGCCCAGGTTAGGCATGACGTTGCAACCCCAGCCCTACCTCATCTGTACAGAAAGACGCTGAAAGTGCCTGGCTGTTTTGTGGAACAAGGTGTTTGCCTCACCCCTGAACCTTGTTTATACAGTGTGTGTGTTTGTATAAGGATCACAGCATCATAAAAGCCAAATGAACACAGATGTGTCTTTAAAGACTGTAATAATAAGCATTAGCTATTACTTTTTCCAACCTTTTATGACTTATAAGGTGGAATTATCTGAGGAAAACAGAGGTACAAATGACAGTTGTTGCTTAAGATACTAAGAAGGGCCATCGATGACCTGACTTTTCAGCCTGTTGTTGAGCACCAGGTACCCCTCATCCCTTCTTGACTGCAATTTGCTCCTTTCTGGGCTCTTTGCTTCCAAATGTCAATGCCAGCTCCTTTCTGATCAGGTATTGCCATTAATAGATTGTGTGGTACTAGTCCAGTTTAATAGTGGACTAAAGAAGAAATTAAAACCCAAATAAATGAGTTTGGACTACAGAGGTATTTTAGACATGCTGGCAGATGATAGAATAGATAGCTATACAGTATATTTAATGTAAAACCTGCCAGTGCTTTCAAATCTTGCTTCCTACTATAGCTTCATAAGAGTTGCGGCGTCATTCTTCCTACAAACGAGGGTCCCTGTGACCCTCATAGCAGCAGTTAAGTAGATAGGAAATTACAATAAGGTATTTAAAAATGACACATATGGGGCTTCCCTGGTGGCGCAATGGTTGAGAGTCTGTCTGCCGACACAGGGGACACGAGTTCGTACCCCAGTCCGGGAAGACCCCACATGCCACGGAGTGGCTGGGCCCGTGAGCCATGGCCACGGGCCATGGCAGTACCCATCTGTGTAAAAAGGCACTTTCAAATATGAAACATGTAAATCTCATTACAGATCAGCATTAACAGATGAACATTTGTAATGTTTTGAATGACAGGAAACACACACTTTGAACCCCAATTAAGCAAAATTTTATCTCCTAAAAAAGAATTCCCTTTTTCTCATTAGTGGGTCAATATTACTTTTTTAAAAAAAGTACTTAATATAGTATTACTATGTTATATTATGAATGTCATCAATAAAAATCTTGTAGAAAATTGTTTTCTCTTTTATATAAGTACCTACATAATGTGCTTGGTCTGCAAAGCCTAAAATATTTACTATCAGCCCCTGTACAAAAAAGTTTGCTGATTTTGGAGTTAGGAAAACTAGTAGCTAGGGGCGACAGCATAAATACTCAAAATACAAAATAACAAAAGAGAATAATCCAGAAATAGAATTTTAATAATCATAAGAAATTGATTTATACAATTAAATGCAAAGAAGTTTGAAGACCTGAAATGGATAATCTCTATGAAAATATAATTTACCAAAGATGACCCTAGGAAGACAAAGTCTTAACAGACCAGATTTCATTTAAAAAAAAGTTGCCAAAGATGTGACCCTCAGAAAACTATTTGAGCTGTTCTAGAGCATAGAAACAAAAGGAAAATTTTGAATGCTATTTTAGAATCAAAACAACAGCAAACATGGATATCAATTTAAAAGTGCTAAATAAATTATTAAGAAAAGATCCAGGGCTTCCCTGGTGGCGCAGTGGTTGAGAGTCTGCCTGCTGATGCAGGGAACATGGGTTCGTGCCCTGGTCTGGGAAGATCCCACATGCCGCGGAGCAGCTGGGCCCGTGAGCCATGGCCGCTGAGCCTGCGCGTCCAGAGCCTGTGCCCTGCAACGGGAGAGGCCACAACAGTGTGAGGCCCGCGTACTGCAAAAAAAAAAAAAAAAAAGATCCAACACTACATTTAAAAATTAATACATTATGATCAAGTAGAGTTTATTCCAGGTATATGTGAATGGTTCAGTATTAGAAAACATTAATCATTTACAGAGAAAACTCATATGGACAAGCTAGTAGATGTTAAAAAGGCATTTGACAAAATTCAACATTTAATACAAATTGATAGAATGAATACATGTATATATACACCTCTAAAACATACAATGTGTACATATGTAAATATGTGTATATATAATGTGTATTATATATACACATTCCAAAACTGATGTGAAAATATTGGAGGTATTCCCTTAAAGTTAAGAACAAGAAAATGAGTCCACTTTCACCATACTGTTTTCTTGTATTAAAGGTATTAGCTAGCACAATGACAACATTAGATTGTAAGACTTGAAAAGAGTAAAACTTTTTATTTGCAGAAAATATGACTATATTCCCGTACAGCCCATGAGAATAAATAGTAAGATAATTTAATAAAGTAATAGGATATAAAATTAAAATACAAAAAATCAATAGTTATTATATGTACAGCAACCATTAGATACATGGAAGAGAAAGTACCTTTTTACAAAATCAATAGAAATAGATGAGTGGGGAAAACATTAAAACATTCTTGAAGGAGCTGTAGAGGAGGAAGAAATTTTCCTCTTCATTTCAAAGTTCCTCTGGCTGATCTAAGAATTTAATTGACAGAGAGTAACAGAAAAACAAAAATTAAATAACATGTAAAGTCTGCCTTTTCTCAGAAAATAACCAGCCTAAAGCAATATGCTGTAGAGACATATTTTAGGGTGGCAAATTCTGCTCACCTACAGAGCCAAAAGGAGACTGACAAATGGATAGATACGTTCTTGGATAAGAAGACAACACAAAGATGTTGGTTCTCCCTTGGCTAAGGTATGAATTTAATGAGATCAGGTATTTTTCCCCATAAGACCAGACAAGCTGTTTCTAAAATTTACATGAAAAGTAAAAGAATAGCCACAAACAAATAGCTGTATGGGGGTTTTAGCCCCATCAGGTATTGAAATATACTATAGAATTTGAATAATTAAAGTATTGTAATAATGGCATGAATAGACCGACAAATAGAATTGAAAAGAAAGTCAGAAATAAATTCAAATACATAGAAGAACATCAAGTCTGTGGAACAAAGATGGAATTTTTAATAAATGGTATTGGGAATTCTTTTCAGTTATTTGAAACCAGTTAAAAATTTGAACCCATATCTCATAGCATATGCCTTGATATACTACTGTCGACTGAAAAAAAATGCACAACTAAAAGTTGAGGATTATGCTTTATTTAGGGACATTATGAGGATTTAAGCCTGGGATACATCCTAAGGGAGGAGTCAGGATATATAGGAGTTTTTGCAAAAAAAAAAAGGTAGTCGAACATCAAAATATCAATATTACTGCTAATTAAGGAAAAACCAGACATCCCAAGTTAATGAATTTAGCACTTTTCTATGTATGAGAAGATGCAAGAGTCTGGGCTTATTTAAATTCTTCCTTTGACATGCACGTTAACTATCTATGGCCAGCATCCTGTTTTCTCTCCATCCTGAACCCCCTCAGGGTGCGCTGTGCGGGTGAGGGCAAGCTGCTGCAGTGGCTGAAGGTTGAATGGCTGCAACGTCCTTTGTTTACATTCTTTTTTTTTTGAATTTTTGAATTTTATTTTTTTTATACAGCAGGTTCTTATTAGTTATCCATTTTATACATGTTAGTGTATATATGTCAATCCCAATCTCCCAATTCATCCCACCCCCCCCCACCCTCCCCGCCACTTTCCCCCCTTGGTGTCCATACGCTTGATCTCTACATCTGTGTCTGTTTCTGCCCTGCAAACCGGTTCATCTGTACCATTTTTCTAGGTTCCACATATATGCGTTAATATACAATATTTGTTTTTCTCTTTCTGACTTACTTCATTCTGTATGACTGTCTCTAGATCCATCCACGTCTCAACAAATGACCCAATTTCGTTCATTTTTATGGCTGAGTAATACTCCATTGTATATATGTACCACATCTCCTTTATCTATTCATCTGTCGATGGGCATTTAGGTTGCTTCCATGACCTGGCTATTGTAAATAGTGCTGCAATGAACATTGGGGTGCATGTGTCTTTTTGAATTATGGTTTTCTCTGGGTATATGCCCAGTAGTGGGATGGCTGGGTCATATGGTAATTCTATTTTTAGTTTTTTGAGGAACCTCCATACTGTTCTCCATAGTGGCTGTATCAATTTACATTCCCACCAACAGTGCAAGAGGGTTCCCTTTTCTCCACACCCTCTCCAGCATTTGTTGCTTGTAGATTTTCTGATGATGCCCATTCTAACTGCTGTGAGGTGATACCTTGTAGTTTTGATTTGCATTTCTCTAATAATTCGTGATGTTGAACAGCTTTTCATGTGCATCTTGGCCATCTGTATGTCTTCTTTGGAGAAATGTCTATTTAGACATTTCTAAATAGACATTTCTAAATGTCTATTTAGAAATGTCTGCCCATTTTTGGATTGGATTTTTTGTTTTTTTAATATTGAGCTGCATGAGCTGTTTATATATTTTGGTGATTAATCCTTTGTCCATTGATTCGTTTGCAAATATTTTCTCCCATTCTGAGGGTTGTCTTTTCGTCTTGTTTGTAGTTTCCTTTGCTGTGCAAAAGTTTGAAGTTTCATTAGGTCCCATTTGTTTATTGTTTTTATTTCCATTACTGTAGGAGGTGGATCAAAAAAAGATCTTGCTGTGATTTATGTCAAAGAGTTTTCTTCCTATGTTTTCCTCTAAGAGTTTTATGGTGTCCAGTCTTACATTTAGGTCTCAAATCCATTTTGAGTTTATTTTTGTGTATGGTGTTAGGGAGTGTTCTAATTTCATTCTTTTACATGTAGCTGTCCAGTTTTCCCAGCACCACTTATTGAAGAGACTGTCTTTTCTCCATTGTATATCCTTGCCTCCTTTGTTATAGATTAGTTGACCATAGGTGCATGGGTTTATCTCTGGGCTTTCTATCCTGTTCCATTGATCTATATTTCTGTTTTTGTGCCAATACCATATTGTCTTGATTACTGTAGCTTTGTAGTATAGTCTGAAGTCAGGGAGTCTGATTCCTCCAGCTCCATTTTTTTACCCTATAAACTGCTTTGGCTATTCAGGGTCTTTTGTGTCTCCGTACAAATTTTAAGATTCTTTGTTTACATTCTGTGAACTCTTTTTTTGTTTTGTTTAATATGATTTATCCTGGAGATGTCTCTATATTGCTACATAGAAAACTTCCTTATTCTTTATATAGCTGTACAATATTCTATTGCAGGATATACTATAGA